CACCAGGAGGCTGTTTATAATAATAACAACAGGTGAATGGGAGGTTTTCATGCTGGTAAACTGTTTTTTAAATGTAACCAAAGCCGTCAAAGATTGAGGAAAGATGCACACGTTCGTAAGTGCTTGCGTAAGTGCTTTCGTGAATCTGGCTCCTGAATAAGCCAACAAAAAAATTGTTCAAATATACACAACCACCAGAGGGCTTCATAATCGCCGCTAGTTTGTTGACGAGAGTTGCTTTCCAGCTGCAATAGTGTTTTAGGCGTCCGGCCACACAGTATAAGACTCCAATAAATGTATCATGCTTCCTTATATAGATAAATTATAAACTTGGTAAATCAACGTCACAAGAAAGATGTTAAGGTTTCCTGTGATTACTTACAGAGGGTGGGTGCACCTGGAGCTGCCGTGAAGTACAGACGTGTCGTACGGCCTCTGGTAGTTTGGGGTGTTTGCCGTTTTTCGTCGCCAGGGGGTGTGGGTGTCCCCACCCTCCCTGCAGTTGCTGCTTGGCTGGTGGTGATGTCGCACGCTTGCGATGGGGGTCCGTCTCCCTCCTGTGTTGAGAGTAAACTCCGTGGGACTGGAGTTTACGGGCCGTGTTGGCTATCCTGTAGTTGAGCTTGTCATGTGTGACATGCTCCGTGTCTCGGTCGACGACGTCTACGGAATTGAGCTGGTAACTGCTCACCGGGTTATTATCAAGTTGGCGGGGGGGGGGGGAGGTGTATCGTGCTTTACTCCGCCGTTACGAGGGGCGTTCCTTGTCGCTGCCGGATGGTGCCGGCTCTGTGACCATTACAGATCGTAGTGGTGCCCTGACCTACGTGAGTGTGCACAGGGCGCCCTTGGAGTTTCCCGAAGTTCTACTCCGGCGTTACTTCCAGCAATTTGGCGCGGTCGTCAGTGTGCGGGCGAACACACTGTCCTCAGGGAGGTATAAGGGTATGCGGACGAACATTCGTACCCTTGGGATGCGCCTGAGATCTGATATCCCTGCTTCTGGGGTACTACGTCCGGGTTTACTATGCCCGGCAACCCCGTACCTGCTTTCGGTGTGGCCTGTTGGGGCATCAGGCTGCCGGGTGCTCGGAAGCTGCTGTCGCTCCTGTGAACCTGTTCCAGGAGGATGATTTCCCGCCGCTCCCTGTTGGGGTAGATTCCATGAGCGAGGATGTTGACGTCCCGTTGGCTGCTGCGGCTCCCCCTGCATCGCCCGGCAGTCCTCCTGATGGTGCGGTTCCTCCTCCGGGTGTGCCGGTGCCGTCGGCTGATCTTCCTGCCCCTGTCGCTGTCACAGCTGCTCCCGGGGGGTCTTCCAGATGGTCTCTGCGTGTCGTCGACGTCTTCGTCTTCCTCGTCTCCTGCTGCTGCATCTGGCCCTGCGCCTTCGCCGGGTGTTTCGGCTGAGCTGGGTGCTGGGGGGGCTGCGGAGCGTCCTGTTGTGTGCGGCCCGGTTCCCCCTGCAGTTGAGGCTGCTGCCGTCATGAGACGGGCATCGGTTCAAACGGCTTGTGAAGTCCGTGGTTCCGGGTCAGCCTCTGGCTCTGAGGATGTGCGGCCGGAGCCCAATCGGTCCCGGCGATCTTCTACTGCTTGGGCTGATGTGGGGATTTCGACTTCGGTGGGTCTTCAGGCGATGATGTGGTGGATCCGGGTGCTTCGCGATGTCAATGGTGGTTGCTGACGTCCATGTGCCTGTTGATGACGACGATTGTGCATATGATTCACCTCATGTTCTTTCTTCTGCAGAAGGTTCTCCGCAGTGGGGGGTGGTCGCTCCTACGGACGTAGGTGGTGAGGGTGCTGGTGCGGGCCGCGACCTTTTGTTGTTGCTGAAGAAGGATGTTCGGCGTGGGGGGCCCCTGCAGGTGACACGTCCGGTGGTTGCCGCGGAGCCCTGTGGAACTGCCAAGGAGGCTGCGAGTGCGCTGCCCGTTGCCCGGCCCCGTGGGGGAAAGCCCCTACCAATCGTCTTGGCCTCCGGCGTAGCGTATGATAGGAAGAATAACCCTTTGTCGTTTTACTTTGTTGACCGCGAGCAGCCTGTTCCGTGGTGCCCCTCGACCGTCTGGGTTCCGCAGGCTCGGTGTTTTGTTGTGGGTGTGCCGGACTTGATGCCTGATCCTCGTACGGCCCATGCTCACCCTGTTCCGGACAACATCATGTTGCTTTGGGAGGCGTATTGTATTCGTTTCCCGGCGGCGGAGTGGCCGGAAAAGTATGAGCAATCTGAGTAGTTTGTGTGATTGCTGTGTGTCTAGTGTATGCATGGGACCTGTGGTATGTTCTGCTATGCGTTTTATTTCTTGTGTGCCCTTCAGGCCAGTGTTATTTTTTTAGTTTTCTCAATGTCCCTGTTTATTGTGTTCCTTACATGTTTTAACATACTTTGCGTGTAGCTATCCCATTTACTGCTTCTCTGTTCCTTTGATTCTGTTGTAATATGTGCCCCTCTGGCACATATTACATGTTTGCCCTAGTGTGTTCTGTGCTTGTGCCTCTCCTTTTATTTCTTGCCCTGCAAGTGGTTAGTTGTGCATGTTATTGTTTGTGTTGTTATTGTGCCATGTATGGCTTATGTTTCTGTTTCTTGGCTTGTTGTATATTTTATGATTTTATAATTTTGTATTTTTGTTTGTCTTTTTTTGTTATTTGTTCTCCTTATGCTTTCCCTGTGTGTTATGATGTTTGTTTGTTTTGTTTTATGTGTTATTGTGTTTTGTGTACTGCTAGCCTGTTTAAACTATTTTCTCTTGTGTTCTGTTGATGTTTGCTGTTTTTGTACTGTGCTGTCGGTCCTTTTGGCCGGTGTTTTTTTGTTTTGCTTATATTGTTTATTCTGTTCTTTTTATTGTATTTATTGCCTTATACTTGCATGCTTGCATGTAAAAATAAAAAAAAACTTGCAGAGGGTGAGTTGTCACGACCCTTGTGGATTTGTTCATTTGATGCATCACGTTAGTGTGATCTCTGTGTGTAATGATGTAAGGGCGAAGAGGGAGAACAGCCTATTGACATAGCTCGGGTGCAGGGGAAAGGGGGGTTGTGTAAAACCCTGGTTTGTGCCTCGGAGAGGCTACAGGATCCAGTAAGTTCAGTAGAACTTCGGTTTCCACCCTTTTAACCCCTGTCGTAGCTCAGTCGATTAAGGCAGTGTCTGGGATGCTCCCGGATGCAGGTTCGAATCCTCGTCACGGCCCTTGTGGATTTGTTCATTTGATGCATCACGTTAGTGTGATCTCTGTGTATAATGACCTGGTGGTGGTCTTGAAAAAGGCTGCTCGCTCTGGGGGGTCCGTGCTCCCTGCTTCGTCGGCGGCGGTCTTGTCGCCTCTTCCGTCTTCAGTCGTTCTTCTGTAGCTCCAGTGGTACCGGTGGAGGTGTTACCATCACGTCAACCGTCACCTTCTTGTCCTGTGCGTTCGGCGGCATGGCCGTCTCTGCGGCCTACGTACGCTTCTTTGGTGTCTTCTGCTTCCAAGGAGGGAGGTGTGTCGTGCTCCCCTGCCTCATTATGCGACTTGCGTCAGTGAGCTTCGGGAGTGGCCGTTTCCGCCTGATTTGGTGATTCCTGAGTTTATGCAGGCCCCACAGCGGAAGGGTTATCGACTCCCTACTGACATGGAATATTTGATTTGGGAGGCCTAAAAGAAAAGGTATCCTTGGGATAAGTTCCCTGAGAAGTTTACTCCTGCCTCTGGGATTTAGGTTCATGCCCCGTGATTCCTTTGTTTGGCTGTATGTTGTGGGTTGTTTTCCATTTGTGTGCATGGATGTGGGGTGCGGGGTGTGTGTGTGTGTGTGTGGGTGGGGCGGGTTTGTTTTCCCAGTTCCTGCGTGCTCCGATGTTTGTTATGTATTATGTATTGCGATTATGTTTTCTGTACTGTGATTATGCTGTCCTTTTGTTTCTATTGAGTATTTGTCATTTCCTTTAGTGTTGTATTTATTATCATTTTGTCTTGATGCCTATCTGTATGTGGTTACAGTGCCGATAGACTTGTTTTGTATAATTATGTTCTGATGTTTGGGTTGTTGGGTGCGGGTTTGGGTACCGTGTTTCTGTACTGTATTCCCCTGTGTTTGTATTGTGACGGTAACGCGTTGGTGTTCGGCTGTTCAAAAGTTAGGGGTATGGCCTCGTCACATATAGAAACAAAAAATAGAAAATCTGGAACTTCGTCTGTGGTAAGGTAATGGGAAGACACACAAAACACAAGTAAATTTAACAATGAGATTTTAATTACGTTAGAAAAGCAAAACATGAATAAAATGGACATACAAATTGGAACATAAAATCAATCAAAATAATAAGAATAATCAAATGACAAAATGAAAAGTTACGTTAAGACAAGTGAGTAATAACAAGTGAACAATATACAATCAGAATATTAGGTGCAGGAATATTGGCTTTTAGCTGCCACCTCTCTTTAGTACACGTAAGCCAGAGCCTAGTCTTCCAACGAGACGTGTTAACTTGTTGAAAGCACTGGATATTCTGGGGTCTGTAGGTCGTGTGGCCCCAGACATCAGGTAGTGTGGCGAGTGGAGGGCAGGTGCAACTGGACATGCAGCCAATCAGCGATGAGCAGGCGACGTACAGGTAGTTTGGTGATTCGAGTGGCGGAGGGAGGGGAGCAGGTGTTCCTGGTGCTGCATACGTTTGCTCTCTGGCAAACCTTGGTGTTGTATTTGTTGGATATTTCTTCCATATTAGTTGTATAGGGATGTATATAGCGACGAACTTGGGAGGGAAGAGCAGGCTCAATCTCTTGACGGAGATTATCGTCACAGTATGTATTGTTGTTTTTGTGGTCGGCCCTTCAGGCCGGTGTTTTGTGGTTGAGTTCCTTTGTTCTTTTGTACCTTTGTGAGTTTGTGCTTTGACATTTTGTGTTTTGTGCTCTGTTTTGTTCTAGTTTGCTTTTATTTATTGATTTTATTGTATTCATTTGCATGCTTGCATGTAAAATAAAAAAAAAATAAAAAACTTGCAGAGGGTGTTGGGGTAGAGAAGATGGTGGCCGGTCTGAGGTCTGTGGTGACCGTCCTGGTTCCTGCTGTCTCCCTCAGTGTCGCTCGCCTTCCTCTACCTTACTGTAAGTGGACGAGGTGTAGCTCCCTGACTTGGCCCTCTTGTCTAGGAACTCTTCACTAAGCACTCCTGACCATGCAATCCTGACTAGACACTCCTGACTAGGCACTTATAACTAAACACTCTTGACTAGGCACTCCTGACTAGGTAATTATAACTAAGCACTCCTGACTAGGCACTTATAACTAAGCACTCTTGACTAGGTGGTACTCCTGACTAGGCACTCCTAACTATGCAGTCCTGACAATGCAATCCTGACTAGGCACTCGTAACTAAGCACTATTGATTAAGCACTCCTGACTAGGTACTTCTGACTAAGCACTCATGACTAGGCATTCCTGACTAGATATTCCTGAGAGGGTAATCCACATTAGATATTCCTGAATAGCATACAGATATATGGCTAGGATGTACATATCACTAGGATCAGTACTGGGAATGGTTACTGCTGAACAACAATAACTACGCTTCATATTTCCTTCGTTTTTATACCTTATAATTTATCTCCCTTTTCACGTAATAATTTCAATAAATTAATAATAATTTCATACACTTATTACAAAGAGGAATTTTGTAACTAGCTCATCAAGATTGTAACTTGCTTAGCTAAATGAATTGTGGGGTTCAGTCCCTGAGCCCATTATGTGCCTCTGTAACCCTTTCCACTACCACCCACAAGATGGGTATGGGGTGCATAATAAATGAACTAAACTAACTATTACAAAGAAAACCACGATTAGTTTGTTTAAAAATTTTAAATAGAAAAAATATTAGGAAAACATTTATCGATTGTTGACAACACAATGGTCTAGGGGTTCCATTTCCGGGCAGAGTCAGGTGTTAATTAAGCATCAGAAGCATACCTGCCATATTCACGAAGCAGTTACGCAAGCACTTACGAACGTGTACATCTTTTCTCTATCTTTGGCGGCTTTGTTTACAATTATTAAACAGTTAACGAGCTCCGAAGCACCAGGAGACTGTTTATATCAATAACAACATTTGATTGGGCTGTTTTCCTGCTTGTAAATTGTTTAATAAATGTAAAAAAAAAGCCGTCAAAGATTGAGGAAAGATGTACACGTTCGTAAGTACATGCGTAACTGCTTCGTGAATCTGGCCTCGGTTGGTCAGTTCCTACTGTGTGTAACTCCCCCTCCCCATCCGGCCCGTTGGCGTCGTGAGTGGGCTTGGTGGACGGCTGCCGGAGTGTGATGCTCCGTTGGGCTGTCCTCTGTCCTTTTCTGGCCTTGCACTCCTGCTACTGTCTTCTCCAATTGTGCCGGATCGCTTTTCCTTTTCCTTATGTTTCGTTTTTCTCCCCCCCCTTCTCCTATCTGCTTGTCGTTTCCTGCCGACCTTTTGCTTGTTTTGGATTATTTCTTTGGACTTCTTCTATTTTGACGCCCGGGTGCTTGAGGAGGCATACTCTTGCACCCGTAGAACTGTAGTACCCAACGTCTCGAGCAAGGGGAACCTTTTATTGTCAATCCCCCTTTCGTCGCTGAACCCGATCTCGACGGACTGACGGTTCTTAAGGTGGCGTTTGTGGGGCGTATACTCACGACGCACCCCTAGGGGGCCCTGGCATGATCGGCGATAGCTTCCTGTTGGGTGTCCTGCCTCTAATTGTGGCTCCATGGTGGGTATGGGGGCACATTCGTGGATGAATTTATCACTTTTCGTCTCTATGTCGTTGAATGTTTCCGTTGTACCCTCTCAGGCTCGTGGGGTGGGCGACCAAGCCCCCGAGTCGGCCTGTATTGGAAGACCAGGCTCTGTAGCTCCCGCTGCGTTGGGCCCCGACCTTGCTCCTCCTTTGACCGTCCTGACTTCTTCCCCCAGCTCCCCTCCCTCCTCTGTGGTTGGGTCGAGCCTCCAGCCCCCGGTGGTGACCACTTCGTCCCCTGGTGCGGCTAAGTCTCTCGTTGTGACTACTGCGCCTTTTGACCCCTCTCTCTCTAGGGGTTCTCAACGCCGTTCGCGCCCCCACCGCACTCGCTCGATTCCTTCCCGTGCTGATGCGTATCAGGCCTTGTTTGGTCCTGCTTCATGGGCCAAATACTTTGATCTCCTCCCTCTTGATTCTGCGCCTCCTGACGATTTCTCCCTCCATCGGCATCTTGTAGATTCCGTGGATGCGTCTGTTACTTTCAACCCCACTCGTCTCGGTACATGTGGCGTTGCTGCTCCTTCTCAGGATGCGGCTTCCCGCTTGGCTGCCTTATCTTGCCTTGGCGAGATCCCTGTTCGGGTCAAAAGAACGTTCAGCTGAATACCAGTGTTGGCACTATTCTCCTCCCGCCCCATGTTGCAACCGGTGTTCGGAATCTGCAGGATTGCCACGATGATATTCGGCATATCCTTGATGCCCAAGGCCATTCTGTCCTCCAGGTTGACTCGTTTACTCGTCCCCCTCGTGGTCGTCGCCGTCAACCCCTTCGCGTTGTGAAGATCACCTTTGATGGTAGGACCCTTCCATCCTCTGTCATTCTTGCTGGTGCTAGGTGCTCTGTCCAGGAGTATATTCCTTCTCCTCGACTTTGTAACAAGTGCTGGAGGTTTGGACATGGTGCCCTCCGCTGCTCTGGGACTGACTCTCTCTGTCCTTTGTGTGGGAGTGAAGGTCACTCTAAGTCGGAGTGCACTTCTCCCCAAGCTCGCTGCCTCAACTGCGGTGAGGCCCATCCTACCTTCTCCCGTGCCTGTGTCCATTACAAGCTTGAGGCAGCCGTCCTTAACCTGAAGCACCGAGAGCGTTTATCTTTTCCTGAGGCGAGGCGCCAGGTTCGCCGGCTCCCGCCTTATGCTAACATCTCTTATGATCGCGTGTTGCGCTCTTCCTCTCCTCGTCCTTCCCCCCTTCCTCAGACTCTCAACCGTTTCCGGGCCTTGGACCCTGATACGCCCACTGCCCCCTCCTCTGTCCCTTTGTGTTCTGTCCCGAGGGGTCCCCCTCCTGGTCCTCTGTCTGGGGTTCCCCTTCTTTCAACCCGGTCTGTCATGTCTCCTGTGTCTTCTTCCTCGTCCCCCTCCGATCCTCCTTCCCATCCTCTTCCTCCATCTATCGGCTCTCCCCACCGCCTGTCGGTGCGGGCGGATGTCCATCGCTCTCCTAACGGCCGTCGTGTGTGCTCTCGTTCAGCTTCTCCTGTTGAGACACTGGAATCCGTTGCCCGGTACGTAGTTGCTGGGACACCAGTCTCTTTAAGTCAGAAGCGTAAGCCTGGCTCCTCTCCTTCCTCTTCCCCGGCGGGTAAGAAGGCTTCGCTTTCTTCCTCAGCTCCTACTTCTGGCTCTGTTGCTCCTTCCCCTCCCGTTTCAGTGCTTGCGCCCCCTGTTCCTGCTATGGAGGTTTCTTTGGCCCCTGTTTCCCTTTCGGTTGCTGCTCTTGCTGGGGTGCGCTCCCCTCTTTCTACTCTCCCTCTTCCTGCTGCTGTCCTTGACTGCTCCTCTCCGTTGTCTCCTCCTCTTCCTCCTCCTCCTCCTCCGGGCCCCGCCCGCCCACCTCTGATCTGTTCTCCCGTTTCCTTCCCTCCGTCTTTGCTCAGTTTACCCATGCCCCCTAACCCTGACTTTGCTGACCCGGATCCCGACCCTGATATTCTTTAACGTGCTTTGTTGCTCTTTCGCCTTTGTTTCTTCCTTGTTCTCTGTTTTTGTCCTTTCTCTTCTCGTCGTTGTCCATTCTTCAATGGAACGTTCGAGGGTATTACGCCAATTTCCTCAAACTCCAACTTCTGATTTCGCGGTTTTCGCCCCTTTGTGTCTGTCTCCAGGAGCCAATGCTTGGTGCTCGTCCTGGTCGTTTTCGTGGCTATTCCTTTCTCTTCCCCCCCCCCCCCAGCCATTGCTGGGGCTTCTAATTCTTCTGCTCTCTTGATTCGTGCTGATGTTCCCTTTGTTCCTTTACTTTTTCCTTCGCCTCTCCATTGTTCTGCTGCTCGTATCTTTGTGGGGAAATGGTACACAGTTTGTTCCATTTATCTCCCCCCGAGTGTCCCGCTCTCTCTTCCTGATTTGAAACACCTCCTAGACTCCTTGCCGGAGCCTGTGCTCCTGCTGGGTGACTTCAATTGTCGTCATTCTCTTTGGGGTGACGTTCTGACGAATACCCGGGGTCGCCTCCTTGAGCCGTTTCTCCTCTCTTCTTCCCTGTCTCTTCTGAATTCTGGTGAGCCCACTCATTTGGACTCTCGGACTTGCACCCTTTCTTGTCTTGATCTTTCTCTCTGCTCTTCTTCTCTTTACTTAGATTTCACGTGGCAGGTTCTTGATGACCTCCATGGAAGTGATCATTTCCCCATCCTTGTTTCCTTTTTCTCTTTTCGCCCTTCCCTCTCTATCCCTAGGTGGCAGTTTGCTAAGGCATACTGGACCCTATTTATCCTCAGTGCTGCTCTCTCTGACCTCTCCCTTCTGCCTCTCTCTCGCGCTCTCCTCTTTTTCATGACACAGTCTTCAACGCTGCCCTCTGCTTTATTCCTCGCTCTTCCTCTCGGGGTCCACGGAAGTGCGTTCCCTGGTGGAATGCGGACTGTGCTCGGGGTGTCCGCTGTAAGCGTGCAGCCTAGAAGAGGCACCGCCGTAGGCAGACGACCGATTCTTTTCTTTTCTTTCGGAAAGCGAGTGCGGTGGCCCGTAGGGCCATCCGTACGGCTAAACGTGAATGTTGGGCATCTTATGTCTCAACAATTACGTCCGAAACCCCTCTGGGTCTGGAAGATCTGGAAGCGTATCCTCAAGATAGCGGGTAAGTTCGTTCCCGATGTTTCACCGGTCCTTCACCTCCATGATACTCTTGTGGCGGACCCGTTGCAGGTCGCTTCCGAACTGGGTTCCCACTTTTCTTCTGTTAGCTCTGGTCTTCATCTTCCCCAATCTTTCCTTCTTCGTAAACCTGTCCTTGAGTCTCGTCTTTAGATTTCTGCACTTATCTTCAGCTTCCCTATAATGATCCCTTCTCTCTCTCTGAACTTCGTTCTGCCCTGGCCCTCTGCGGTTTTACGGCGGCGGGCTCCGATGGTATTCATTATGAGATGCTTCGCCATCTCCCTCCGAGCACGTCTCAGTATTTACTGAGTCTGTATAATCGGATCTGGGAGTCGTCGTCAGTCCATGAGGACTGGCTCGATGCCGTTGTCCTCCCTGTTCGCAAACCGGGGTCTCTGGGTACTTCCCCTAAGGACTTTCGCCCTATTGCTCTCACAAGTTGTGTCTGCAAACTCTTTGAACGTATGGTTAACGTTCGTCTGATGTGGTTCCTGGAACACCATCACCTCCTCTCCCCTTCTCAATTTGGTTTCCGCAAGTGCCGCAGCACGACAGATGTCCTGGTGAACTTGGAGGTCTATATTCGTACTGCTTTTGCTGCGAAGACCTCCGTTGTTGCCGTCCTTTTTGACCTGGAGAAGGCTTACGACACCACTTGGCGTTATCATATCCTATCTCAACTTCATTCTTTTGGCCTTCGTGGTCATCTCCGTCTCTTTCTCCGCAGCTTCCTCTCTCGTCGTTCCTTTCGGGTGCGCCTTGGTACCGCTCTCTCTCCCTCTTTTCAGCAATACGAAGGTGTGCTCCAGGGTAGTGTTCTGAGCACTACTCTTTTTCTGGTTGCCCTCAATGGTCTTCTTTCCTCTCTTCCTTCTGGTGTCTTCTCCGCTCTCTATGTCGATGATCTTACCCTTTGTTGTCAGGGTGATGATTCGCCTCTCCTTCAACGCCGGCTTCAACTTGCAATTGATGTCGTGTCGTCTTGGGCCACAGATCATGGCTTCAAGTTCTCTACTTCTAAGACTTGTGCCATGACTTTTACGCGGAAACGGGTTGTTCTTCGTCCCTCTTTGTCACTTTATGGTCATCCCCTTGAATACAAAGATTCCGCGAAGCTTTTGGGGTTATTCCTTGACACTCGTTTGTCTTGGTCTCCCCATATCTCTTACCTCCGTGTTGAGTGCTCTAAGGCCCTTACCCTCCTTCGGGTCTTGTCCCATACTTCTTGGGGGGCAGATAGGCGCACTCTCCTTGCTTTACATTCCTCTCTCGTCCTGTCTAAGCTCGATTATGGTTGCCCTGCTTACTCATCTGCTTCTCCTTCTACTCTTCGCCGTCTTGATGCTTTGCACCATACTGGGTTGCGCCTCAGTTCTGGTGCCTTTCGTTCGACTCCCATCCTTAGCTTGTATGTTGACACTGGCTTCCTGTCTCTCCAGGATCGCCGTGATCGCTACTTTCTTCGCTATCTTGCGCGGTCCTTGCAACATCCTTCCTCTCGCCTCTGTCGTGCTTTAACTTTTACCCCTCCTGTGGTTCCTGTTCCTCTTCACCACCTCCCTCTTTCTGTCCGGTTATCTCGCCTACAGGATTCTCTTTCCGTTCGTATTTCTGATGTTTCTCCTCGTGTTGTTCCTTCTTTGCCCCCGTGGAGGGTCCCTCTTCCGCGGTTTTGTACATCCTTGACCCGTATCCCTAAAGCTTTTACCCCTCCTACGGTTCTAAAACGCCTTTTCCTCGAGCACTTTTCTTCTCACTCCCGCTCCGTTTCTGTCTTCACCGATGGGTCTAAGTCAGCGGACGGTGTTGGCTACTCTGTTGTTTTTCCTGATCGCACTTATATGTGTCGCTTACCTCCGGAGACTAGCATCTTTACAGCGGAACTTTATGCTATTCTCTATGCTCTTCGTCTCCTGCTTTCTCGTTGTCAGTCTTCCTTTGTAGTTGTTGTTGACTCTCGTAGTGCCCTCATGGCTCTCGGGTCCTTTAATCCGGTTCATCCAGTAGTTGTCGAGATCCAGCATTGGCTGTTTCTTGTTCACAGTAAATTTAAGTCGGTTGAGTTTTGTTGGGTTCCCAGCCATATTGGTGTGTCTTTAAATGAGCGTGCGGATGCTGCCGCCAAGGAAGCTGTCCGCTCTTGTCCCATCTCTCGTAAAGGCATTCCATATTCCGACTTTTACCCGGTTATCCATTCCTCAGTCCTTACCCGTTGGCAGGCTTCTTGGTTGTCTGTTACTGGTAACAAGCTACGTACTCTTAAATGTTGTGTTTCCTCGTGGCCGTCCTCCTTCCACCGTAACTGGCGGTGGGAAACAGCTCTGGCGAGGTTGCGTATTGGCCACACTCGCTTAACCCATGGTCACTTGATGGAGCGCCGCCCTGCTCCTTATTTTCCTAGTTGCATTGTCCCTCTTACGGTCGTGCATGTCCTTCTTGAATGTCCTGACTTCCAGGACGAGCGTGTGTCTTGCTTTCCGACCGCCCCTCGCGGTCACCTGTCCCTCGATAGAATTCTTGGTGACTCGGATACTTTTGATATCGTTCGCCTTATGCGTTTTTCTTCTCGTATTGGCATCCTTGGTGATATTTAGCGCCCTCTGATTATTTTGCGTATTTGATGGTGTTACATAGCCTTCCCGGTTTGGTGCCTTCTTTTGATAATTACTTACTTACTTACTGTGTGTAACTACCTCCACCCAGACACGGAAAGCAACACCATGACGCTGGCGGGAGAGGCTGTGGCAGACATAATACGGAGCACCATACACACGGACGGAACCGCATCCATGTGTTCTGTGTCTCTCCTCTCTGACGGTGGCTCTCCAGCCTCCAGTGTCTTCACAGTGAGTCCAGCCCGCTGCTCACGTGAGTCGTAGTAGCTAAAATTATTGGAACATGAATCGTAAAGTTTACATCGACAGAAACACTGAATCTTAGCTGCAACTGCTTTTGTTATCAACTATTAAAGATCTTTAACTAAAATATTTTAAATATTAAAAAAATGGCAGATAGTGAGATCAAATTGAATAGTGCATTATTCATATCTAATTGATTTCTCTAACAGGCAATGAAAGGTTTAGAGACTCCCTGGGGAGTGTCAGTGTTCAAGGTGTCAGCAGACGGCCAGGACGCTAATGTGACGTTGACGCAGCTCTCCCAGATGGTCGGCGAGGCTCGGCGGGTAGGTCACTCTCACATTACTGCTGATGCTGGTAGGTCACTCTCACATTACTGCTGATGCTGGTAGGTCACTCTCACATTACTGCTGATGCTGGTAGGTCACTCTCACATTACTGCTGACGCTGGTAGGTCACTCTCACATTACTGCTGACAATGGTAGGTCACTCTCACATTACTGCTGATGCTGGTAGATTCACTCTCACATTACTGCTGATGCTGGTAGGTCACTCTCACATTACTGCTGGTGCTGGTAGGTCACTCTCACATTACTGCTGACGCTGGTAGGTCACTCTCACATTACTGCTGACGCTGGTAGGTCACTCTCACATTACTGCTGATGCTGGTAGGTCACTCTCACATTACTGCTGACGCTGGTAGGTCACTCTCACATTACTGCTGATGCTGGTAGGTCACTCTCACATTACTGCTGATGCTGGTAGGTCACTCTCACATTACTGCTGATGCTGGTAGGTCACTCTCACATTACTGCTGGTGCAGGTAGGTCACTCTCATTACCATTACAGTCAGTATACTGTTTCTACAAAATTTATACCGTGTTGATATCAACAGCTGCGAGTGGTGTCACGCTGCATGATGATGGTGGTGGTAAGCGACGACCGGTCCTTCCTCTCCTCTTTCGCTGAGTTATCGTTTCAGCTCCGCCTCCTAGTATGGTCGACTAGGCTCCTTGTTGCTACACATTTACCACTACAAGAGCTACAACATCTCCATAAGGTTCTGGCCAGCAGGAACGCGATGTTGCTGGTCACTGACAGTTCCTCGGTCTCGGTCAGGTAAACACAAATATATCCACATCTAGGCTTAATAACATCAACCTTATGGAGAACTGGTTTGTTTTTAAAATTGAGATTTCACTACTCTCATGCTGATAAGTTTCTTTAATGTACAAACATTTGTAAATTTATGGCATTCAGAAAAATAAAGTTACATTTGGTCTTATATGATCTAGCGTTAGTTTGTGTCATGATGCTGTAGGTGCAGTGTGTACGTGCGTCTGCCCTACAGTGCTCCAGGAGCCTCACCTCTGCAAGTGGCCTCCTGGACGCCCAGGCGGGGCCTCGTCCACTCCTCCAGCTTCACGCTCTTCCCTGATAAATACTTCAGGTGTGTCATGTATCAGAGACGATCAAGGAAACGCTGTTTTTTTCAAATTTCAAGTAAAATTTTAATGATTATTATGTCAGCTTCAGGTCACATGACCTTAGTAGTGTAAATGATGCCTCAGGCAGACAATTTTGGTTTTGGCAAAAGCCTGAATTAGTTCCAGCCTTTTTAAAAAGGTTGTTTTGATTTCGGCAAAACCCGGGATTAAGCTCGTCCCTTTGTAACTGGTGTTATTGTTTTAACTGGATGTTATTGGTTTTTAACCTAGTGTTGTTGTTTCCTGATGCCCCTGTTACCTAGCAGTAAATAGGAACCTGCGAGTTAGACAGCTGCTATAGGCTGCTTCCTTGGGGTGTGTAACCTGGTAGAGAACCGGCCGCGGGAACGCTAAGCCCTGAAATCATCTCAAGATAACCCTTCCTTTTCTTGTCTCCTTCCTTTAACCAATGAACAAAAAGCACCCGCATATATCTATATATACATATATATATATATATATATATATATATATATATATATATATATATATATATATATATATATATATATATATATATATATATATATATATATATTAGTATATTTTGGTAGCAGTCTTTCCTGTAGACATATATTATTAAATATGACCGAAAAAGTAAGATTAATAATTCTAACACGAATTTTCTCAATCTTTCGTACATTACGCTTCACTGTTGGAGGTAAATTAAAAATCAATTCTCCAAAATTCATTTTTATTTCTAGTCTGACGCGACACGGGCGCGTTTCGTAAAACTTATTACATTTTCAAAGACTTTAGTTCACAAATACACAACTGAATAGAACTTACGTATCTCCGATTTTATATCTACATTTGAGTGAGGTGGAAGGGGTGATGTGGCATTAACACAAGACAGAACAAAATGTGGTATTAATAGGGTATTAATTTCATCAACACAAGACAGAACAAGGGTATTAATAGGGTATTAATTTCATCAACACAAGACAGAACACGAAACAATGGATATTGAATAGAAGTGTTTGTAGAAAGCCTATTGGTCCATATTTCTTGATGCTTCTATATTGGAGCGGAGTCTTGAGGTGGGTAGATTATAGTTGTGCAATAATTGGCTGTTGATTGCTGGTGTTGACTTCTTGATGTGTAGTGCCTCGCAAACGTCAAGCCGCCTGCTATCGCTGTATCTATCGATGATTTCTGTGTTGTTTACTAGGATTTCTCTGGCGATGGTTTGGTTGTGGGAAGAGATTATATGTTCCTTAATGGAGCCCTGTTGCTTATGCATCGTTAAAACGCCTAGAAAGAGATGTTGTTGTCTTGCCTATATACTGGGTTTTTTGGAGCTTACAGTCCCCAAGTGGGCATTTGAAGGCATAGACGACGTTAGTCTCTTTTAAAGCGTTCTGTTTTGTGTCTGGAGAGTTTCTCATGAGTAGGCTGGCCGTTTTTCTGGTTTTATAGTAAATCGTCAGTTGTATCCTCTGATTTTTGTCTGTAGGGATAACGTTTCTATTAACAATATCTTTCAGGACCCTTTCCTCCGTTTTATGAGCTGTGGAAAAGAAGTTCCTGTAAAATAGTCTAATAGGGGGTATAGGTGTTGTGTTAGTTGTCTCTTCAGAGGTTGCATGGCTTTTCACTTTCCTTCTTATGATGTCTTCGACGAAACCATTGGAGAAGCCGTTATTGACTAGGACCTGCCTTACCCTACAGAGTTCTTCGTCGACTTGCTTCCATTCTGAGCTGTGGCTGAGAGCACGGTCGACATATGCGTTAACAACACTCCTCTTGTACCTGTCTGGGCAGTCGCTGTTGGCATTTAGGCACATTCCTATGTTTGTTTCCTTAGTGTAGACTGCAGTGTGGAAACCTCCGCCCTTTTCTATGACTGTTACATCTAGAAAGGGCAGCTTCCCATCCTTTTCCATCTCGTAAGTGAAACGCAGCACGGAACTCTGCTCAAATGCCTCCTTCAGCTCCTGCAGATGTCTGACATTAGGTACCTGTGTAAAAATGTCGTCAACATACCTGCAGTATATGGCCGGTTTCAAGTTCATGTCGACTAAGACTTTTTGCTCGATGGTACCCATGTAGAAGTTTGCAAACAGGACACCTAGGGGAGAACCCATGGCGACCCCATCTACTTGCTTATACATGTGCCCATCCGGGCTCAAGAAGGGTGCCTCTTTAGTACAAGCTTGGAGTAGTTTCCTCAGAATATTTTCTGGTATGTCAAGAGGAGTACAGGCTGGATCACGATACACTCTGTCGGCTATCATTCCGATTGTCTCGTCCACAGGTACGTTGGTAAACAGCGATTCTACGTCCAACGAGGCTCTTATCCCTGTGGCCCGTGTGCCCCGCAGTAAGTCAACAAATTCCTTTGGAGACTTCAGGCTGAAGGCGCAAGGAACATAAGGAGTCAGCAGGCCGTTGAGTCACTTCGCCAGTCTGTACGTGGGTGTGGGTATCTGGCTAATGATTGGCCGAAGTGGGTTTCCAGGCTTGTGCGTCTTGACATTTCCATACGCATATCCAGGTTTATATTCCCCAATGATCTTTGGCAGGTGGAGTCCGGATTTCTTGGCGTTCACAGTTTCGATCAGTTTGTTGACTTTTGCTTTTAATTCGGCTGTAGTGTCCTTCGTTACCCTTTGGAATTTAGTTTGGTCAGAGAGTATGATGTTCATGATGACCAGACCACACACTAGAAATTGAAGAGACGACGACGTTTCGGTCCGTCCTGGACCATTCTCAAGTCGATTGTGAGAATTCTCACAATCGACTTGAGAATGGTCCAGGACGGACCGAAACGTCGTCGTCTCTTCAATTCTAGTGTGTGGTCTGGTCATCATACTTCAGCCACGTTATTGTGACTCATCGCCTGCATATGATGTTCATTTTCGCCAGATATTCGTCTTTTAAAGAATGACATATATTGGCGACTTGTCACCTCTCCTGACAACTATCTCCTTGTTCTCACGAAGGCTTTTAGCTGCCTCCACCTGCCAAAGATCATTGGGGAATATAAACCTGGATATGCGTATGGAAATGTCAAGACGCACAAGCCTGGAAACCCACTTCGGCCAATCATTAGCCAGATACCCACACCCACGTACAGACTGGCGAAGCGACTCAACGGCCTGCTGACTCCTTATGTTCCTTGCGCCTTCAGTCTGAAGTCTCCAAAGGAATTTGTTGACTTACTGCGGGGCACACGGGCCACAGGGATAAGAGCCTCGTTGGACGTAGAATCGCTGTTTACCAACGTACCTGTGGACGAGACAATCGGAATGATAGCCGACAGAGTGTATCGTGATCCAGCCTGTACTCCTCTTGACATACCAGAAAATATTCTGAGGAAACTACTCCAAGCTTGTACTAAAGAGGCACCCTTCTTGAGCCCGGATGGGCACATGTATAAGCAAGTAGATGGGGTCGCCATGGGTTCTCCCCTAGGTGTCCTGTTTGCAAACTTCTACATGGGTACCATCGAGCAAAAAGTCTTAGTCGACATGAACTTGAAACCGGCCATATACTGCAGGTATGTTGACGACATTTTTACACAGGTACCTGATGTCAGACATCTGCAGGAGCTGAAGGAGGCATTTGAGCAGAGTTCCGTGCTGCGTTTCACTTACGAGATGGAAAAGGATGGGAAGCTGCCCTTTCTAGATGTAACAGTCATGGAAAAGGGCGGAGGTTTCCACACTGCAGTCTACACTAAGGAAACAAACATAGGAATGTGCCTAAATGCCAACAGCGACTGCCCAGACAGGTACAAGAGGAGTGTTGTTAACGCATATGTCGACCGTGCTCTCAGCCACAGCTCAGAATGGAAGCAAGTCGACGAAGAACTCTGTAGGGTAAGGCAGGTCCTAGTCAATAACGGCTTCTCCAATGGTTTCGTCGAAGACATCATAAGAAGGAAAGTGAAAAGCCATGCAACCTCTGAAGAGACAACTAACACAACACCTATACCCCCTATTAGACTATTTTACAGGAACTTCTTTTCCACAGCTCATAAAACGGAGGAAAGGGTCCTGAAAGATATTGTTAATAGAAACGTTATCCCTACAGACAAAAATCAGAGGATACAACTGACGATTTACTATAAAACCAGAAAAACGGCCAGCCTACTCATGAGAAACTCTCCAGACACAAAACAGAACGCTTTAAAAGAGACTAACGTCGTCTATGCCTTCAAATGCCCACTTGGGGACTGTAAGCTCCAAAAAACCCAGTATATAGGCAAGACAACAACATCTCTTTCTAGGCGTTTAACGATGCATAAGCAACAGGGCTCCATTAAGGAACATATAATCTCTTCCCACAACCAAACCATCGCCAGAGAAATCCTAGTAAACAACACAGAAATCATCGATAGATACAGCGATAGCAGGCGGCTTGACGTTTGCGAGGCACTACACATCAAGAAGTCAACACCAGCAATCAACAGCCAATTATTGCACAACTATATTCTACCCACCTCAAGACTCCGCTCCAATATAGAAGCATCAAGAAATATGGACCAATAGGCTTTCTACAAACACTTCTATTCAATATCCATTGTTTCGTGTTCTGTCTTGTGTTGATGAAATTAATACCCTATTAATACCCTTGTTCTGTCTTGTGTTGATGAAATTAATACCCTATTAATACCACATTTTGTTCTGTCTTGTGTTAATGCCACATCACCCCTTCCACCTCACTCAAATGTAGATATAAAATCGGAGATACGTAAGTTCTATTCAGTTGTGTATTTGTGAACTAAAGTCTTTGAAAATGTAATAAGTTTTACGAAACGCGCCCGTGTCGCGTCAGACTAGAAATAAAAATGAATTTTGGAGAATTGATTTTTGATTTACCTCCAACAGTGAAGCGTAATGTACGAAAGATTGAGAAAATTCGTGTTAGAATTATTAATCTTACTTTTTCGGTCATATTTAATAATATATATATATATATATATATATATATATATATATATATATATATATATATA